CGATTTTATGAGTGGCAGCAAAGGGAGTGAAGGGCCGGGGGCGTGCGGGGCAGAGGCCCGACGTCAGGCGGCTTGTTTGTCGGGGTCCGGAGAATTCGAGGGGGGAACGAGGAGGGGGGAATGGGCGGTCGGCGTCGGGGTAGAAGCAACAGGGCGTAGGGGGTAGCCGTCACTTTTTGGCCTGTACGAGGGTTTCCGGCAACCCAGAGCGCAGAGGGAAACCAGAGGGTCCCCAGCACTTTGCGTTTCCGGAAGTTTCCAGGGAAACCAGAGGGTGTTTGGTGCTCCATTCTGTTTCTCTCGAGTTTCCCTCGGGAAACTCGCGAGTTTCCCTGAGTCTCTGAGTTGGCAAGGTAAGGGGAATGATCAGAATGGCAAGGCTCGGAATGCGTTCTCAGAACGTTCAGAACACCGGCCGCTGGGCCCGCCTGAGGCGCTGAGACCCGGAGCCTCTCTCTCGGCACTAGCAGCAGACAGAGGGCGGGGTAAGCCGTCATTGCCCGGCGCTGCTTGCAGCGCTCTGGGTGGTAGTGGCGGCGCTCCAAGAGTGGTGCTCTTGGGAAGAGGTTCCTCCTTTCCGCTCCCCCCCCGCAAGGCGCGAGACACAGGCACAGGGACAGTGACGCGGCTCATCAGTCCTCCCTCAGCCCGACCTCGGACGGAAGACTAGGGATCCCTACAAAGGTCGCAGGAATGATCAGAACGGCATCCAGGCGGCACCGGCCCTACGACTCGGACCGTGCCACAGCCCATCCCCCCAAGCGCCAAGGCAGCCCACCGCCCACCGCCCGGCCCCAGCCGGTCCGACCTCTTCACACGGCGACGATTGCGCCGCCGGCCGCCGCTGCCAGGGCCGCCGCCTCCGTCGGCGCCAGAACAGGCTCGAACAGCAGCCACGACTCGTACTCTGCCGACGGCGAGCCGTCGTACATCGACGACTCGAGCGAGAGGTCCGTCGCCGCGCCGTTGTCAACGTCGAACTTGGCGACGAAGTTGACGCGGTCACGCTCGATCGTGCGCCGGCCGTCGTTCACCTTGGCCGTAACCGTGCCCACGCACCAGCCGTAGTGCTCGAAGCGGACCATGATGCGCTGCTCGATGAGCGCGTCGCTGGCCGGGTTGGTCGGGTCGAGCTGCTCCTCCGTCGGCGAGGCCGCGACAACCTTGAACCCGTCCGGCACGAGCAGCGGCGCCTCCACCATGCCCAGCACGTCCCCCGCGTCCTCAAAGGTCACGAGTGGCTCCTCATGCTCCGCTTCGGGTATTTTTCGGGGATACCTGAGAATTCTCGGGTATACCCGGGTTTTACCCGGCCGGCCACCTGGGTCGGTCCGAGGGTGTTCCAGGAATGATCAGAATGGCGAGGGCCAGAACGTGTTACATGTACTAGTCAGAACGGACCCCAGTTGCCGATCCTGCCAACTCAGGTGGTGTGCCGGTGTGTGTTACCAGTCCGCGCCAGTCCGACAACGGCTGGCCAGGCCGGCATGGAGCCGGGCGGCGCGACAGGCGGCGCGACGCTCAAGGACCTCCGCTCGGAGGACAAGCTCAAGATCGGCAACCTTCTTCGCGAGCTTGCGCGCGCTCAGCGGGAGGGCCAGCAGGCGACGCGCGAGCGCAGCCAGATAGCTGCACGGCTGCAGGCGATGCGCTCGCAGAATGACCTCATCGTGCAGGCGTGCGCGCTCGCGGCCTCGGCCCACCGTGTGTAGTGCGGCAGCTCGCTCAGTTCCGCCCGCTCCCCTGTGCAGGAGGCCGCGGAGCTCCGCGGCAAGTTCCGCCACTCGCTCCAGCTGCTCAAGGCCTACCAGGAGCGCATCGGCCACAACGCGGAGCCGCCCCCAGCGGCCGAGAGCATCGCCGAGCCGCCAGGCGCTGGCGCTGCCGACGAGGTCATCTCCACCCTCCCCGCTCCACCCCTGGACCCAGCCCAGGGGCCGGCGAGGGCACGGCCCGCCGAAATGCCAGCCGGCTCCCTTAAAAAAGGGGCTTAAACAAGTTTGGTCCCAAGCCCGGGCCCTTCCGGCTCTGTTG